GCTTCTGTCTTTTATTTTCCAGAAAAAACAATAACTTACTTCAGCTGTTAATCTAATCATTTTCCTTTATATATTAACATATTAGTCGCGATAAGATATAAGCTAATGTAGAACTGAAGATAAGGAAACTTGAAAACATAAACAAATGTATGAGAGGTTAAGGTTTAGAAGCTATAAAAAGGAATGTTGCTAAAATTAAATCAGAAAAGCAGAGAAAACTGTAATTCTCTTTCTCAGCCTTCCATAAATTTCTTTCTGGAAGTTTCCATTAACTCATGATACCACTGCTTATTAAAAGATTTCGGTTTATATTTTATTTAAAAATATTTTTAATAGCTTTTTATTTTGTGATTTACAATAAAAGTCATCAAGTATTTTAGTTGCAATATTAACAATAGAAATTAGCATTACTTATTAAATGAAGAAAAGTATTAGATATGAGGCGATTTCAAAGTTTTTCTGCGTATCGAAGCCCAGATTTAAATTTAATAAGCCTCTCATATCTTTTGAGTCTTTTCATTCTGCTTCAGAATAATAAAAATAAGAAGAACAGGGAGGGGGAGAAATGCCTCTTCTTTGAGTATATGCATTTTTCAATTGAAGCAAAATTTGAAATCTGCTTTCAATGAAACACAAATTTAAGAATCATATTTCTTTTTTAAAAAAAGGTCTTTATTTATTAAAAAAGTAAAAAGAGTTTGTCGATATGTAGCATCTATTAGCCTTTTCAAAAGAGGAAACATGAAAAAATCGGCGATGCCTTTGCCGCGATTCAAACTCTAGACTTTCCCAATGTTAGCCAAATGTGCGTTACAATTACACCCCGAAGGCACGCTGTAAAAAAGTAGAAAGTTCCGTCTTACACTTAAAGGGCGACTGGAGAGGGTAAGACCAGTGGCTCAAGAAGATGATGAAGAATTATCGTCCACAACATTTTGGCGCTATTTGTAGGGACATTTACAATTTTTGAAACAAAGCCCAGAAGGACTATTGTCCCCGAGATTCGAGCTTCGTATCTGCCATTTGCTAACCGAATGTGCTTTCCAATAACACCATGAAGACACCAACAAGGAAGGAAAAGAATTCTTTATAAATGAAATACATAATTAAAACGTATGAATCTTGAGCCGTATGTTCTTAATATAATTTTGAAGGAAATTTTGAAAGAATTAATTAGGTTTTTTACACGTTTACACTTTTCTCTAAAATTAAAACTGAAGACAAATCGGGGCAATTTTACCAGAATTAACATAGATAATATTATGCGCTAAATATCGTTTGCACATTAAATTAAAAACATGTAACTCTGAATTCTCTAGACCAGGGGGACCGAAAATGTATTTAAGAATTCGTAAAAGCACACATTCAGTGTGGCAGTACTGAAAGATGTCATGAGATTTAATACTACGTACCAAGATACTAATGCCAATTGCAACAATTTCATTCTTTATTTAATAAACGCTTCTATCAAATTTATTGTTCTGTTCTTCAATAAAATTAACCTTTCTGAAGTGTTGAGTTAAGCATGTTGCTAAACTTTTTAAACCAGGCTAAATTTTTTAAAGAACAGCTTTTTAAACCAGGATTCGAAAGACTCGAATCATTAAAAAAACGCGAAGGTTTGAGTTTTAAAATTTAGAATCGTTTTTGAAATTGATAACATTCGAGGATTCAACTGGTCTATCTCTAACTAATAATATATGTTCTTCAAAATGCGAAAGGGGAAAAGCTATTGCGTAAAACAAAACCGTTAAGTGCAAAATTATGAATTATATTACATTTATGCGCATCAACATGTACTCATACATATATATAATTAAAAGTATTTTTTGTCACCTTAGTTGGCAATTTTTTTTAAATCATGGGGAATCTACATGTTAAATTCTGTGTGTAATTCTTTTTTTTTGTAAGAAGGAATATACAAGGAATATACTTTTCTGAAAATAAATAATTGATTATATAACAGGTGTAACATACTTTAATTTGAAGATTAGTAATGAACAAAAGTAGGACTGAGATATTCGAATCCTCGAAATCTGAGATCCTCAAAAAGGATTTAAGACTCGAAAACTCGAATCTTCATATATTTCTCTTCATTCAGTCTTTAAAATCCTAACTTTAAGGAAATAATCCGTTAATACCTCCCTCTTCCCCCCCCTCTGACCGGTTTCAATTTTTCCTTCCCCGGCGTGTTTTTTTTTTTGTGTTTACCTTTTTGTTTCCCTTCACGTTCTTTGCACCCTAACCCAAAATTCAGTTCGAGCAATTTTGCCCAGTTTTTTGAGCGTACTTAGAATTTCCAAGGCGTCTCCCGAGCTGGAGATAAAATGTTTTTCTGTATAACCGTTGCCATTTGCTCGCTTAAATCCTTGAGTTTTTTAACCAAAAAATCGTGAAAGTGTTCAAAATATGAAATCAATAATAAAACAAATTCCAAATTTCAAATTTGGGCTTCCACATGCCCATATTCGCAATGGGATTACGTCATTCAAAACTCGATGGTTCTATGTACCGTTGTTTTATCACAATGCAAGAAATCTGCATACATTTATGCAGATTTTTCATTATTTAATTTCTTCAAATATAATGCAGGATTCTAACATTTGGTGGCAATAGTTTGAAAAGTGAAACGGACATTTATAGTGAGCCAAAGCAAAATCGCAAAACGAAAACAATAGTCCTTTAGGGACAAAGTCCCTTTGGACTAAAAATAATAAAAATAAGTACATAAAATAACCAAAATAAATAAAAAGTAAAATATGAAGTATATAAAAATAAAAAAATAATAAAAAATTAAGCATTTTAATCGGAAGCTTCGGAAGTCATATCGACAATCAGTTGTAAATGGTGTCAGCATCACCAGAATCATTAATGTCGAATCTGGATAGTGTTTCGGTATGCTACCTAGAGAAATCTGATGGAAATTTCTAGTAACGGGTGTGCTAAGCTTTTTGAAGATTCTGAAAACTAACTCTAAAATAGATTCAATAATTATGGAAATATATAAGCTACCATTGTAATGACCTCTATCTACGTTTAGGAATTTATACATCGGTATATAAAAACCTTTATCACACACATAAGCCCATTTGCCTACCAAAATTATCTTTTCAGCCTTAGCTGTTTGTGTTAAATTGCGTTGAGAAAAGGACTTCAAGTTTCAAATGTTTTAGTCATGTACTTCAGTTACTAAATTTTGTTTGTACGTCCTTTAAATACAAATTTACTCTAAATTGTTTTTATAGAAGGCTATAAGGTGTTTTCTCCCTCCTTTCTGCATGCCTTCGTGGTGTAACGATAGCACACTCGGCGTGTATTCAAGAGGTACAGGTTCGAGTCCCGGCGAAGCATTGCTGTTTAATTAAACGCACGTTTCCTGTTTTATTGAAAACCTAATGACTCTACAAAGCATACTTAAAATTTTGCTTTATCAAAAATTTTTTCATTAATATTTTTTTTCCTTCTTTCATCTTTTTTTATTTGGAGGATTCAAAAGATTCGAGATTCGAAGCGTTCGAAAGGTTTAAGGAGCATTTAGCATACGGACTCGAATTCAGATTTGAGAAAATTCCAACCTCTGATTGTCTATGTATTTTAATTCTTGAGATAATCCTCTGCCCTCAATAGTTGCTTTGATTTAAAAAAAAATCTGAATAATAAATTGTACTCTTTTTTATGGTTCACTATTCAAATTGTTGCCACCAAATATTACAGCCCTGTATTATACTTAAACAAATTAAATAATGGAGAATCTGCATTAATGTATATATGTTTCTCGCATTGTGATAAAACAACGATACCTAGAGCCATCCAATTTTGAATAATGTACGTTTTCACCGGAATATGGGCATCTGGAAGCCCAAATTTGCAATTTGTTTTATTATCTATTTCATATTTTGTAAAACTTTAACGAATTTTTGATTAATAAACTCAACGATTTCAAAGCAAAGAATAGCAACACTGTACGGAAACAAAACCACTTTTATCTCCAGCGCCAGACTGTGTATCGGAAATTCTAAAGACATGCTCATTTTGAAATTATTTTGTGAGACTGCTGTTGAACTGAATTTTATGGTTTAAGTGCGAAGAACATGGTATTTAATAAATAAAGGGAACACATAAAGCTTTAAAAATACGCTTCTTTGGGTGTAATGTAAAATCTGAAAGCTTTCAGATTTTTATATTTTATATATATACATATATTTTTTTTTCAAATTGTATCCAGAAAATGGATGTCAGGTTGCAAGATTTTAATTTGCAGTTCTGTGGTTAATTTACTCAATGGATTTTTTTTAAAATTGTATCCTAAAATTTGTTTTTCAGTAAATGCAAATTTCAGATTGTACTTTCATTGAAAACTTTCTCTATTGAATAAAAGTCTATTTTTCTTTTTTTTTCTTCTTCTTATCATTTAAAGGTTTCTAAATATTCAAGATTAAAAAAATTAAGATTCGAGAAAACTGAAGATTCGTGCTACTTCTAAGCAGAAATCCACGTTTATTTCTAGCTGATGCTAACTTAAAAAGTTTCTCGACTGATATCAAAGCCACAGACTTGAGTTGTCGATTAATAGCACATTAATATAAAACTCTGATTAGTTTTGTGACCAAAATTTTTAGTTTCTTGATTTCAACTGTCCATGAAAAGGATATGAATCCTTTTTTTTTTTTTTTTTAATATATTTTTCTTTTTTCCCCCTTCCCTCTTACCTTCTTAAATAGATCTTACCTACTCGAGCAGCCTATACAAAAGCAGGGGCGGGGGGGGCTAACGTTATACCACTCCTACAAAATAAAAAGATAAAAAGCAAATATAGAGACTCAAAAATCAACTCGGAATCCCTTTAGATGATCAACGGAGCGTGCGAACAGAACTGTGTCGAGAAAAACGCGACGGATCCGCCGATAAAATGACGGAGCCTGGGACGGTCGCGGTAACCAGCTATCTCAGCGATTGGTCAACCCATCGTCGACTCATAACTTAAAACAAAAGACTATTACCTCTGTCCCCTTCTCATTGGCTTGCCGAAGTCGATGCGTCTCCCCTCCCTACTCTCTTTGCACCTCGCAAAGCGTTTCACTTCATCTAATCGAAGTGTCTGCTTTAATATCCTAGCTTTGTCAACGTTGTATAACTCCGACGGATAAATATAAAGGAGATAACAGCAGATTAAAGCTCAATAAATAAATGAAAACGCACATCTATTGTGAACTCCAAGAGACTACGAGGGAGCAGATGGTATGGTTCCACCAATGGGAAAAGGGCGTGACGAAGGAGAGAACCAATGAGAGGCTGCGTGGGAATCGACAAGGTGCTGTTCTCCTCGCAACCCCCCACTACGGAATATATCGTAGAGGGAATCCAGAAAGTCAAAAGACAGCGATCTCGCTTCGACGACGCACGTGGAAAAGTATTTCCCGCTGGTTCAGACTGGAACCTTGCTGCAGATTTTGTAAATCATCCCTGACTTTCGACTGGTAAAGGCGTTGCTAGGAAAGTTATGTTTGCTCACTTCTATCGCTGAACTTAAATAGCAAAAACTGTTTGATATTAGTTCTGAATGTTCTCAAAGAGTAAACTATCGGAGAACACAGTTATTCTGCCATTTGATAAAACGATTATTTATCCTGGAAAAGGTATTCGATAGTCATCAAACGTTTACTGAAAAATGGTGTCCACCTTAAATTTCCTTGAACTTTTGAACATTAGCAAATCAAAGGTTAGAATAAATGTTTATTGATTAAGAAACGAAATTCTAACTGTTTGGTTCCTTTGTGGTCGGTTTTTGATAAAATCAAAGGCAGATGCTTGAACAATAACATTATTTTGAAATACGAACTCATCTCTGTGTCATAATCCCTCAATGCTTGTTTAAAAAGAAGCTAATTTTTTGTCTTCATAATTTACAAGGGAATTCTAAAAATAATCATGTGCCATCAAGCTAATGCAAATTCATCTGATAAAATCAAGTGATAAGAGTGTTCGGTGCTCTAAAATTTTTCGTTTTTAAGAGTTTCGTATTTTCAAACTGATATCCTTTCAATTCCATATTTCAAGTCAGTGATATTACTCTGAATAGCGAGTGATGTAATAGAACTACACAAAATCATTTCTTAAGTTATATTTCAGCAATACGCGAGTGTGATATTACAAAAATGTCGTGCAAATCAACTGGTGACCATGTAAAGAGACCAATGAATGCGTTCATGGTCTGGTCTAGAGGACAAAGGCGAAAGCTTGCTCAGGAGAATCCTAAAATGCACAATTCAGAAATTTCCAAACGTTTGGGTGCTGAATGGAAACTTCTTTCAGAGGCTGAAAAACGACCTTTCATAGATGAAGCCAAGAGGCTGAGAGCTCTGCATATGAAGGAACATCCTGATTACAAATACCGCCCAAGGAGGAAACCCAAGCCCTTGGTCAAGAAGGAGGCTGCATATCTCCCTATGGGCATGACTCATCCATTTCCACCACCTCTAGAACCCTTGACCACGAGGTATCCTCACATCACTCATCATTCTCTGGAGAGTGAGAAAGCAGTGACAGCCAGGACATTTCCTCTTACACCACTTCCTTATGTCTACAGCTCAGTGGACAGTGGCTTGCCGAAACTGAGGCCGGATTTGGGTCTCGTTAAACATAGAGACTTGAGCGAGAGCCCACTGGTGCCTCCTCCCACAACTTTATACAGCACTGCTAGCTCGTTGTTAACTTCTCTGTCTCAGTCACATGCTGCAGCATTTGGGCCTCCCTACAGTCTTTGTGGATGCGGCCCACCAACGTATTTTCCTAGTCCAGGGCCTTTGCCCACTCACCACGAACTGAGATCCCCATTTGCTTACTTATTCGTGAAACCAGAGGACAGATTCCATAGGCACTCTAGTCCTCCAACGTTACCACCGAGTCCTATTGTCTAGTGGTAAATATGAAGTTCTTTCAGTAATAAACATCTTTCCTTCTTACCTAATGAACTATAGGATGTGATTAATGTAGACATAACAGTCTACTAAACTTTTATTTCTTTTTAATTATTTTATTTATAATATAATAAGCATTCTTTCAAAACATAATGCCAGTCACAGAAGAACAATTTAGTGAAATCTATTGTTAGTAGTACATGAATGTTGGCTCAAATATGTATATATTTCACAGTTCTGTACTTAAAACATTCATTTTAAATATTTTCATTTTCATTTCATCTGAAAACTAACACGCATGTATATATTAAGTTATTTACCGAAAAACTCTTATTCACTAAGTCACGACTATTTATGTTCAAATTTCGTTTTATAATATTTAAACAATATAATTAAATTGATTTTGATGAAATTTATCTTTTACGTTTCTTGTCATATGTAAAGTATGTTTCTTGTCATACAGCTTATGCAAAAAAAGTTACCTGTATATTCACTGCAGATGCATACCGTAAAAGTAGTTTTAAATATCTATTTTTAAGATTACTTTTTAAGTACAAAAGTTTTCTGAAAAATAATAAATTTTATAAAGCTTATTATTAAATTAAATTCTAAAAGAAGGAAAAATAAAAATTACTTGAAAATTATATTTAAGCTTATATATAGGAATTTTTATGATGTAAAGTTGTGTGAAGTTGCACTGTAAAATGCAATGCATCTGTAAAATTTCAAGTTTTATTACAGTTAAAATAGCTTGAAATAAATACTCTGTTAAGATGTATTTTTATTATTATAAGATTTTGTTTTGAATAATACGAAATATATGTGTTTAGTGATGTGATATGTCAGACTTTATTTACCCAAGAAGATTCCCTTTGGAAACATTCATTAGCCTACACCACTTGATTTCATGCCTTATATGTCGTCATTGTATGTATTACCCAAATTTGGCTTTATATTAAATCCTGAAACATTTCATAAGAAGTATACAATATCTTTGTTTCATGTTCTCAAAGAGGTATCAATGATAATATTACATCTTCTCTTATTTAAGGTGCTTTTTTATGCATATTGCTCAATTATACCTAACAATTTAATTAAAGCTGAATTTGCAGGTACTTAGGTTTGAAGTTTTATTGTTTTTATTGTTTTTGTAACAGCTTAGCTGCATTTAAGAATTCACATATTTAATTAAGTTTTTAATTGTAATAATCCTAATTAATAATCTGTGATTGGATGATCAAATGTTAATACATTCAATATTTTCAAAATAATTTATTCATTTTTGTTGTGATAATTTTAAATATACTTTCATTTAAAATTGAATTTTTTTTAAAAACTTCAAGAAAAAATGTTATAAAATTGCATTTTGTGTGTAGGGATGTTTCAGCATTATTTAACAAATATAAATTACCTTGCAAGTGAATAAATTGCATTCCTAGCAAGAAACTGAAATGATAAAACTTCAATTATGGAAAATAGTTGAGTGAAAGTTTTATATTTTTAATAATATTTTTATTGCTTTTGTTTACTAAAGGGCACTTATAAAAATTGCATAATAGTTTTTAAAACAGCATTAAGATTATGAATCACTAACTGAAGGAATAGATTAAAAACACTATTATATTTTTTATTTGCAATACCGGTGAATTATAATATTATGACTTTAAAAATATAGACTATCAAGCGGATAAAATTATCTGCATTTAGCATATTTGTCTATATGCAGAAATTCAGAGATTTTTAAGAAGCAAGAGGTTTTAATATTCTTTAGTGGTAAATTCTGGTAAGTATAAATTATCACTAAATTAAATAAAATTTATACATAATATGTATTTGCATATGCGTGTGTGCATTGTGTTGAAAACGTATTTAAGCAGAAAATAACCGTGCAATTTGAAAGGGCATTTTTGCATACCTTCTGCTATATTTTCGAAAATCTTAACTTTTTTTTAACTTGAATAATATTTTTCATTACTAATATGTATAAAAGCCGCAAACATTGTCAGAAATCACTTTAAATTAGCTATGAAGTACTTTATAAATAACCAGGAAAAGATTTTACTTCTCACAATGCTAATATGTTGCATAATTAAGAGCTTGTGTGCTTCTGATTATAATTTTCAAAAGAAGTAACTGAAACAATTTGGCAATTTTGATTAAATGCTATGATTTTTGTTTTTTGTTTCTTAAGTACCTAATGAAAAATAAATTCATTCCTCATCCACAAATACTCGGCCAAAAATATGTCTATTTTATCTAATTTTCAATAGGTAATCTAATTGGCGTAATTTAGAATACAATATGATTCAGATAAACTAAGCATTTAAAATTATAGTTTACTCATCTCTCAACGAGATTAAAAATTCGAAGAAATTTAACTTTTAATTTTCTTTATAATTAGATAGTGTAGTTAATTGCAACCCAAGAAGAAGATTCCTTCTCTAAAAATGAACATATGCATAAAATTTTCAAAAAATCATAAAAGTCTTTCATAAAAAGTGTATTAATATAATGCGTTCATTTAAAAATCTCTGAATTATTATGCCGATCGCTATTTGAGTTTCTGAAAGCCAGCAAAGATTTCTTTTCTTGCTTAGTTTCGAACCCGGTGCATTAGTGTCATGATGACTTGAACGCCCATTTTATCAACTATCTATATTTAAATTTTTATCTACATATTGCTCAGAAAAAGGGCAGAGGCATTTTATGAACTCGGTAAGAGACGCAAAACATGAAAGAAAAGCACTAAATGTTCCTATTAGTATATATTGACTAATTGTTTAAGTGTACAAATATTCGTTATATATGTGTATAAATTGTAGTGTGTCCTATTATGACTTATTGTTGAAGCAATTAGTAAGTGTGATAAATGAAAATTGCAGCTTATGAATTAGATTTGTGTATTAAAATAAATTATTTATAGATTATTGAATCATGCTTTGTGTTTATTTTTGGTTTACTTCTATACTGGTGCAGAACGGTGAAATTTTTTCTACAATTTAAATTTACAAAATTTCGGGAGCATGGCGAAATTTTTATTTACCTCAAATCTGTAATGAGCAAATCAAAACATCAGTGTTTGTGATATACTATGCAATGTCTTTTTTAATCGTTATTAAAAAATTCTTTTGTGATTTTATTAATAACTTTAATTAAAAGCGCTTGATGATTATCATTAGTAAACATTGTTCATTACAGATGAACCTACCACTGATACAAGAAAAGTTTAGATATTTTACTTTAAAAAAACCTTTAAAAGGGGAGAGAGAACTGCAGTAAAAGTTAGCAAATTTTATACCAAATCTCAATTCAATCAAGTTTGCTTCTTCTTTTAGCTCAAAAAGGTTAATTAGTCTCGAATGGAATTTTGAGTTAGTTCGCTGAAACGGCGTACCACTTTTCCTACTGTTGCCACCAAATATTATCATCGTGTATTATTTTTAAAAAAATTAAATAAGGAAGAATCTGCATGCATGTATGTATCTATGTATGCATGTATATATGTATGTCCTCGTTTTGTGAAAAAACTAGTGTATATAGAGCCATCAAATTTTGAATAATGTAGGCCTCCACTTGAACATGTGCATCTGAAAGCCTGAATTTTGAGTTTCTAATTTGTTTTATTATTTATCTCAAATTTTGTAAAACTTTAATGAATTTTTGATTAATAACATCTACGACTCGAAAACGAGCACTGTTCGAAATAAAATATTTTTATCTTTAGGAAGCGAGATTGTTGACATTCGAAAAAATGTAAGATAGTTAACTCTCAGTTTTAATTAATAAACTTGGCTCTTTGAAAGAATGTGTTGCTGCAGCCGGAAAAAAAGTACTTTCGTGTTCTACGTGACAGAGTGTTGCCATTCAGTAGAGCACGAGATACTTTCAAATTTAGGCTACTGAGTAATAAATTAAGCAATTTTAAAACAAGATACACAATTCTTAAAAATATTGTTTTCTACTTTTTAATGTTATGGATTTAATTAAATACGTCTTAAGTTCATTTGATGTCTAATTGGAAATAATCTTAGGCAATTGCAGTTTTTAAAAATTAATATAGCGAATATATAAACATGTATGGTAACCTCTAACACTTTATAGAAAATTCTAGAGATATGCTGTTTTTAAATATTTTTTGATTTTGCTATTGAATTGAATTTTATGTGGCGTAAATGCGAAGTGATATTTAACAAATAAAGTTAAGTCATAAAAAGTTTACAATAAAAAGCCAAAAAAAAAATTATATTAGCCATCTTACTAAGAAAACTGAATATTGATATGATGAACTGAGAAAAATGTAGAAACATGTGCCAACACAGAATACTGGATGTGATTTTGTTGTTGAACTGTACGTGGCGTAAGTGCGCAGAAAGCTGTGCTTAATAATAAGACAAAAAAAAAAAAAAAAAAAAAAAAAAAAGGAAAGAAAATAGCTTACCAGGAGTGAGTGCAAGATCAATCAGACTGGTAGACTGCGAGCTCAGCTAGAGCGTAAAACTATCTTAACAAATCATTTTCGGCAACCATTTTAAAATATGAAACCTGTAAGATTTCTTTTACTTTCTTTCTTGTTTTAATTTATTCATTTATATTTGCATTGAAATAAAGCGGACAAGAAACTTAAGAAGTGAATATATCATGTTCTACATTGGCTTCATTCCAGTAACTATGAAAATGAACATCATTAGTAAGGGGCAAAATTTTCTGCCGCATGTGTAAATTCAATTTAAAATATTTCTTTAATCCGCTGTTTATTTTACTTGCAAAGCACCAAAAAATTGACTCAAAGGATAAATATTTTGCAATATAAAATTCTAAGATAAATAGTTTTATGCAATATCATTTGACATCAGTAATCTGTTATTTAAAAATTATTCCACTAATCAGTTAGCACAATATTTTTTTAGCTTTGAATAAGTGTTCTGTGGCAGTTCATAGCACAAATTATAAAACGCTTTAATGGTTATCTCAGAACTTGTTTTAAAAACAGTTTTTCAACTAAAGTTTATTAGAAACTATTAACTAAATTAATTTTCTAACTGATTTTTTCTGATTTGAATAAAGATGACAAAGGTACTTCGCGTTTTTTATCAAAATAAAATCATGAAATTGCAAACAAATATTTCAAATAAATAAATCGTATACTTTTCTTTACTTACATAATTAGAAGAAAGCATTAACATTGTGAATTTATAGTTAGGTCAACACTGGGATGAATGCCATTCGAGAAACTATTTTAATCTGAAAAAGAAAAATTCCATGTTCTGAACTCATGCTTAAGCAAACGAGTTTACTCTTAAAAAAAAAAAAAAAAAAAAAAAAAAAAAAAAAAAAAAAAACTCTGTACACAATAATACAATTTGAATATAAGTTTTTAAATAACATCATGTCTGAATTTCATTTTGCTTTTTCTAAAGTAGGAAAATACCATATTTCTTCGTTTTTAAGATTCCGTTGATTTTAATATCCACAAGATTTTTAATTCTAAGAAAATAAGACGAAGAAAATTAAACACTGCAATGCGTACGGCAAATATTTCTTTTTAATAGGATTCGATTTATTAGCAGTAACAATACTGTTATTTAAATCAAGAATTAGGAAAAAATTATTATTTCTGAATATTAGTATTGAGGAGACATATGTGATTTCCCAAGCTACATTCCGTTTTTAGCGAGAGTTATATGAGAAAAATAAAAAAGAGTTTTAGATTCGAAAACTATTATTCCCCCCCCGCACACACACATAAAAAGTTTTGGATATTTCATCAAACTGAATGAAATATTTTCAGCTTTTTCAGCAGAGTTCAGCTGAAAAATCCTTATTTATATAAATTTCTTCAAATTATTGAAATAGTTGCAGAAGAGAAACACTGAATATGCAGTCATATTACACATATGCACATGAATAAGAATAGGCTTTAATTTGAACTCATGTTCAATTCATACAACATTTTAATTAATTATCAGAAAACGTGCTCTTCCTGTATAAGATTTTTCCCGTAAGTTTTGATAGGAAATAACTATTTTAATGCCTTGAATGTTTTAGCAAACTTAAATGCCTCTTAAAGAATTAAATCAGAAATATTCTCATACCTATAAATAGTTCATATGTAGATGATATTGTTTTATTGCATAATTATGACAGAAATTTAGTCGTGTCCGTCTAGGATAAAAGTTTTTCGCGAATTTTGATCAGAGTCGAAAAATTACTGTAGTATCTGAATCATTAGAGACGCTTTATATGTCTATAATTATAAGAAAATTAATACTAATGATAACCTAATGATAAATCTGAAGCCTAGTTATATTGCGTTGTGGAAATACTAATAAATAAATAACCGGTTTAATAAAACCCCAACTTTGTTAGAAATTATGCAAATCTGTTATTAGAAATTTATTACAAGTGCCAATTCAAGAATTAATTAACGATACATATATAACGAGTTATATTAAATTAACGAGATTAACGAGAGTTTAATTAACGAGAAATATTAAATAATACTACTTTCCAGAAGACTGCAGTTCAATTAACTATATATTCAATTTTAGTTTTAAAAAAATTCTTACACTTTGTTCAACTGTCTTCCTTAGACAAAAGCATTCATGATTTATTAAACTATAAATTATCTTCGTTTAATGTACAAATATAATTATTTCAACTCTTTAAACTTTTCTACTAATATCTTAGCTGAAATTAGGACTATTCATAAACATACGATTTCTAAGCAAAACGAAGAGTCAGATGTCTTAAATTAGAAGGTAAAATCTATTAATCTACTCCATCTTTTATATCTTTAAAACCTGTCAAATGATATGTCGAATACCGAGATGAGCCCAAAGACTGAATTTTTTGCGTCAATGTACTAGCCGAGTTCCGAATTCAAAGTTTGAAGAAAATTTAAATTACATTATACATTCAAACAATTGTTAAAATGAAAGAGCTTTATTTGTGTGTAAAACTACAGCATGTTTAACCTAAAGTATATTTTACACGCGCTCCGGAAAACTAAAATAGTCATTTGACTCATTTTACTGCAACATTCACTTCATTACTGTGAATGACTGGAAGTTAATCTGCGCAATGTATATAATGGTATCTCCGTCACATACATTGATGGTATCTCTGTATACTACAGATTAATCTTTTGATGAAGCCTTTACGATGGCGTTATGTATAAGCACCTAAGAAAGGAGTGATAAAGCTTGAATATTCTCGAATCCAAATGATGAAAGGCTGTCGAAACTTTCGACCGAATCTTTCTAATCCTTCATGTAAGAATAAAATGAGAAAACAAATTCACTTGATAGTGATCTTAAGTAGAATATAGTAAGAAGAAAGGAAAAAAAAGCAAATTTTTCTTAACATTAAAATTTTTTAATTAAAGCAAAATTTGAAATTTGCATTTAATGAAAGATTAAAACTTTTAAATACTGAGGGTCAATTCCTCAATTTGGAAAAAACAATATATGAGTACCACTTCAGATTTTTTTACATTATTCGGAATCTTCTTAAAAGAAAGTAAATCGGAAGGAATTAAGATTATTTTAGAGTTAGCATAGATAAGCTTAAATCACAGAATGTTAAAGCGTTCAATTCTCTCTAAAGTTAAGAGTGGGATACCTTAAGTGTACCAGAAGGTGATACTGATAATCAAGATCACCTGAAATTGCAACATATTGAATTGCTTAATTGCATAGCTTTGCCTTTTTTTTTTTTTTTTTTTAACGAACGCTTCTCCTGGAAGTAATACTTCAAAAGTTTTATGTTGATCCGTTTAATGATTTATCGGCAACGATTCTTAAGTTTTAAATCATTAAAAATATTCAAAAGACCTAAATTTGGGAAACATCGAAACTTTCCCAAGCTTCGCAGGATTCAAATACCCTATCCATCTTACCATAAGCACATTTTTTCCTTTCAAATTACATCAAC